CCAGAGCCTATTTTGGATGGCCAACTATGCGAAGAACTTGACTTTTAGGGAGGGGGGGGGGCATGTTTAGAAGGTTCCTAGGAATTGTGCCGTGTAGGCGGAGGCTGTGGAGTATTGCCCATCACCCGTGTGCTTCCAAAAAATCTCATCCTCGGCAAGCTCCTCAGTGTGATAGGTGTGAATGGTTGTCCACAATGTCATAAACTGATAGGTGTGCTCGAAAGTGAAATTGGCGGAAATCTTGATCTTGGAGACCCAAGCATTATTGGAAACTTCTTTGTTTCTTTGAGTTTTCTCTGTTTTCATTATTTTGCATTGGTTCTTTGGTTATTCACTTTCTTTGTTTTTTTTTGCGTTTTTGGTTTTTATTGGGTTTCTTCGTTTTCTTTGTTTTTTGTTGATTTCTATATACACGTTTAACATTTTCAAACAAATGATTAATATTATATTAAACCTATAATTTTTCTATGTTTACTTTTTTCCATACCCACCGTACATTTTTGGTGTATAACTAATACACTTTTAGTACAAATTACCATCTTTCAAATACAAGATTAACATTATAGAATAGATGGTCTGTATTTTTTATACACATTAAACATTTTTTAAAAGCTTGGTTAACATTTTTCAAATACAAGATTAACATTTTAATAGATGATCTACACTACTATATACACATTTAATAATTTTGGAATGCTTGATTAAAAAAATACATATTCTAACATTTTCTAAATGCTTAATTAAGATTTCTTAAGTACGTGGTCAACATTTTCATACATATTGTATATTTTTTGTATACATCAGAAATATTTTCCCAATACACGTTTATTTTTTTTTCAAATGCTTGGTTACATTTTATCAAAAAAGTAATTTAAAGTACTTTTGTAAATGTTAAATGTGTATAGTGAAAAAAATGTTAACCAAGTATTTGAAAATGTTGAATGTGTATAGAGAAAATGTTTCACATGTGTATGAAAAATATATTCAAAAATATTACAATGGATGGAAAACAAGTTGATCATGTATTTAAAAAATCTTAATCAAGCATCCGAAAATTAAACAATAATTTAAAATGTCAAACAAGCATTTCAAAAATGTTAAATTTGTATAAACAAATATTGACAAGGTATTCAAAAGTTTTAATCTTGTTTTGTATTAAAAATGTTAAAAGTGTGTTTGTGAAATGTTAGTTTAGCATTTGATAATGTTAAATGAATATGGAAAAAACATGAACCATGTATTAAAAAATGTCAATATTGCATCTGAAAATATGTTAATCAAGCAATGTGAAAATGTTCAATGTGTATAAAGTTTTTTAATCAAATTTGTTTTTTTAAATAAACTGTCTGTGTAATTTTTTGACCATGTATTAAAAATAATCTTGTATTTAAAAATATTATTCAAGCATTTTAAAAATGTTGAAAATATGTACATAAAAATGTTGACCCTGTATAAAAAATGTTAAACGTTTATTTGACAAATGTTAAACGTGTATTTAAAAAAATCAGTCATTTAGTTTTTTTTAAAACATTTGTAGAAAAATAAATGCATAAATAATGAAAATCCAGTGAAAACTGATAAATAAACTAAGAAAAAAAGGTGAAAGCGAAGAAATAAACAAAAAGATGAAGAAAAAAGAAACAAATTGAAAAAGAAAAGAAAAATGGATAAATACCATTAAAGAAACAAAGAGAAACCAAAATAAAAAAACCAAAGTATAATGAAGAAATAAAGAAAACAAAAGAAAACCGGAGAAGAAAACAAAAAACCAAACAAAAAATAGAGAATTCCCTCAATTAGGCTGTGCCTACTATATTACCATGAACGCAATCGTGGCGCAATGGCTAGCAGCATCTTGCACTACCGAGGCGACTTGGAATTGATTCCCTGGGAGCTCACTTTTCTCCCTATTTCTCCTAGTTTAGTATGCGCTAATTGGCTATCCCATTACTGTAGCCGCTTCAAGCGAGAGATTCTTCCTTTTCGCGCCAAGCCCGCGGACGTAGGGGCGCCCCAAGAGCCGAGACAAAAGCCACATGCTGTTAATTTCCAAGATGGGCCGCTGTTCCCTGTGTGCTCTGACTTCTTGAACGCCGTCAGCACCGCGTCTTTATCTTACTCCAAGATACTACTCCCTCCTTCCTGGTTTATAGGGTTTATCTCAAAAATTCGGTTTTCCATTTCATAAGTCTCAATTTGATTGTTCTCCATCACATGCTTAGAGCATTACTAGTAGAACCCTCAAACCCTCAAATTCTTAAAGCAGTTTTAAGGGTTGAGAAGTGCCACTTTTTTGACACTTTTAAGGGTTGAAAAATAGGGGCAAATACTAGAACCCTCAAACCCAAGCCTTAAACTGCTTTAAGGATTGGATTTGAGGGTTCTAGTCTTTGCCTCAACCCCAACCTTTAAATATATCATTTGACATCTCACAATTTATAACAACAAGAACACAATCAACGTCCAAACAAACTACCAAATGACAATCATTGATGCATGGTTTAATAGTTTACATCACAAAATCACCATCTTCATCCTCTCATCGGCACCATCACCAAAAAGTCACCTCGGCGCCATCTCCTAGACCACATGCGGGCTCCATCAAGCATCTCCATGGGCACCGGTGGAGTCGTACACACCGCCATCGCCACAACTACTCATCGGTGTGTCACCCCGAAAAGTAGAGGACGCAACACGGAACATCCTCTTCCTCTCCGCGATGTCCTCCTCGTAGTCCTTCCACCATTGCAATTGGTCTTGATCCATGTCATTCTTGGACATCATCATGTGCTCTTTCTCTTCCACCATGAGTTCTTTCCATACCTTTGCCTCTTTGAGCTTGATCATCCTCTCCTCCAACTCGGCCTTGCGCTTTGCTTCTTCACGCTTTGCTTCAACTTGTGCAAGCTTGACCTCTTTCTTCTTCTCCGTGATAAGAAGCTTCGTCTCCAATGTCTTCGTTGTCAATTCCTCCCTTGCCTTCATCATGAGGTCCATCTTCTTCCTTAGGCTTGACGCCTCTTCTTCCATCTTCACCCTTAGCTTGCCCTCTTGGTTCCCTCGGGCTTGCCCAAGTTCCTCTCCTCCTCATCTTCACTATCATCCATCCTAAACATTGCCGACTTCTTGGGTGCGGTCTCTTGATCCCTCAACTTCCACTTGTCAAAGGTTTGAAGAATTGTCCAAGCATGCTTAAATGGGAATGGCTTGCCCTTGGAAGCGGCCATCTCCTTGTACCTCATGCCGGCAATTGTCTCCTATCAACCACACATAAATCACATAAAAACCCATCAATAGCATAGTACACACACATAATCAAAATAGTGAAGAAATATGTATTCACATAGTCACTCTCCATGGTTCCACTAGGTGGTGCATCCCTCACTTGGTCCTTTGCCAATACAGTTTACCGGTTTGATCGGTGCCGGTGGTTGCATCCATTCCCACAGCTGCCCAAGCACGAACCAAGAGGATATCTTCCGCCTCGGTGTAGTTTGTCGACCGCGCGTGTGGGCGGGAAGCGGCGGTGAATGCCTCCTCCCCTATCTCGGCCAACTCCTCCTCGTCATCACCTTCATCCTCCTCATCTTCCTCCAAGTCGTCACCAACCCTAAAGGGTTCGAGAGGCGGAGCCCCGAGTCCACCTCCGTGTTTTGGAGGAGGTCCATGAACGAGGATGGGGTTGCCATTTTCTCGAACACCTCGTGCGCGGTGGGAGGAGGTTCGGCCACGGCGACGAAAGGAGGTTCGGCGACGGAGGCGGGCGGGGGCGCGGGCTTCTTCCGCAGCATCTTCACGGCGGGGGCGACCTTGGATGGCGCCTTCGGCCGACTCTTCTTGGTGGCCGGGGCGGGAGCCGAGGAGGCGGCGGGGGCGGGCGCCAGGGCGGTGACGGTGGCCGGGGCGGGAGCCGGGGAAGCGGTAGGAGGAGGTGCGAGGCCCGCCCGCCGCCGCTT